CAGAAGCCAAACCAGGGTGCAGTGGCTGACCTGGGAGCGTGGCAGATCCAATAGCACTCGGACCAAACCCCACTCCCATGTGGAAAGACTGGACCTGAGGGGAACTGCCCTGGCTGGAGAGAGAGATGGAGGAGCAGAGAAGAAAGACGCTCTGGAGAGGTTGTTTTTCTTTTTAAAACATGCCCATGTAAATATGACACTCACAGCATCGGCTACTTACGTTATTTTCCTCAAGGGAGCTGACATCTCGGCCCTGCATGCTCCAGAACCTGCCAGATCAGTCTGGAATTCAAAGCTCAAGGGCTGCAGCCTTGATTACTCTCTCTACCATTAACCTCCTCTATTAGCACAGCCAAGTCACACAAGACTTCCAAGTGAACCTCAGGAAATTGGGCATCCCTCCTGATAGAAATCTGGGAGCAGCTGAACGTGTAACTACAGCAGGCATCTTGGAGGATTGTCAGTTTTTCGGTTATGACAATGACTGGAGCTGCTACATTCCCTCAGTAGCTGGGGTCCAGCAAGCATCACTCTGACACCAAAAGCCAAGATTTACCAAGTGTTTCAGAAAAGTTGCAGGTGCAGGCAATAAATCATGGCACAGAGTTGTGACTGTCCCTAACACAAGCCGTGCTGAAGAGCTGACCAGGCTGGATGGCCTGGCTGGAGGACCAGCTTCCTGAGCAAACACTGAGATCTGCCTCATAGCCTAAAGGCATCAGATAAGGCTGAACATAAGCACAGTTTACCTCCTGATTCCTAAGCACAGCTGACTTCCACAAAGATAAAGTAAAACTTCTGTATGGATGACAAGCCTGCCTCGAGTGGAAGTGGTTCACTAATTAAAATAGCTGTTTGTCCAAGGTTGGGAATTCAAAAAACAGCAAGTGTTATATTATCAGAAATCTACTAAGTGTTGTAAGGGAGACAAGGGATGTACAGCCAACACGTCTTCAAATCTCTTGCTGAATCTCCATTAATCCCCTGATCCCAGATATCAGAGCAGTTACGTTGGCCTGGGGATCTGCTTCCAGTTGGTCAATACCAACAGGAAAATCTTTAAACCTCCTTTTGATCCAGAGATAAGTCGTGCAGGCTCAGAACTCGCAGACCAGCCCTTGGTTCTCTCAAGACCACCTGCTGCAAACTGGAGGCACCATGTGCAGAGCCAGCGGGACTGTGCATTGCGGAAGCGTTCTGACTTCTGGAAGCACCACTGCCTCCCAGCTCCCATTGCTTATTAATGAATAATTACTTGTGGCTGAAATGATGCCAATTTGTATCATACCTTGTTGTATATCTTGCAGTCAGGCAAATGACCATGTTGGTCCTCAGCAGCTTTAGCCTGTGAGGTGTGGAGTGTAAGCCACGCTGATTTCCATAGGGTGAAGGATCTGGGAGAGCGGCTTCTCATCCAGGCATAATTACATGAATTGGTTAAGTGTGACTTTGCCAAGCTCTCTCCTCAGACATGTGACTGCAAGGCCTACCACATCCTATCTCCAGGCTGGTAGGTTTTGCAGCACACATTAAATTTCCCACAGGGAAAAGTCAGAGTGGCTTTGTATACTGTGTTTCCTCCTCCTCTGCTGCTAACAGGCAGGGTTTGCAGAATTCATTTTTCGTGTTAGGCTGTACTTCTTCTCTGCAGATTTACTGCTTGTTCCAGAAACATTCAGGTTAAGAAGAGGAGGAGGTCTGAGACACGGGAGGTGATGAATATTCGCCCTCTACCCAGTTGCATGTCAAGGTATTCCCTGATCACCACAAACATACAGCTCTTGTACAGCAGTGCAGGTGTGCCTGTATGTGCCCCATTTTCCTGAAGGGGTTCTCCCAAGCCATTGCCCTCCTGAGCTCCTCAGAGCTGAGAACAGGTGAAAGTTTTTTAGCAGAAAAGCACTGTTTCAACAAAAGACAACCCCACACTGTAATTACATAAAGGTACTTTTTATAACAATCTAAACTCTGTTTTTGCTGCTACTTTGAAAGCCTACTCTGATTATAATGGGATATTATGCAAGATTGACACAGTTTATATTTTATATACATATGCAAACCCACATTATTCTTTATCGCAGTCTAGAAGTGCAACCCAGATATGTTCTTGCAATGACCAAAGTAAAAAATGTAATGATCCCCAAAGGCCATAAGGAGATCCAAGAGGCCTGTGGGCATTCGGGAATTTATGTGCTTAAAGCACATCAATCTTTTGCACACCCAGATGAGAACAGTATGAACCAATTCTTTCCTGACTTATATTCGATATTGATGGAGGTGACTTAAGGCTGTGCAAGGTGCAGTTCAGGGAACAATCCAAACCTCTGGCTACTACTCTATTTAATCCTTCTAAGTCTGCTCTGCCACCACCATCAAAAATAGTCTGATCTCATGCCACCAGGGTCCCAAGAACAGGGGTGGAAAATGAGGATCTGTTGTGGAAACACTGTCACAAACCAAGGACTCTGAACAACCAGACATTAAACAGAACTGGATAAAATGTACTATTCATCCTTCCTCTGAGACCCCCCACAAAGTATATATGAAATAACCCCAGACATGGGTTACAACTGAGGCAGAAAAAACAATTAAAGAAATAAGTATATTTTCTTCCTCTTTCACCTGTCTCATAGTTCTGATAAGTTTAAAGCCTGACCCAGTGCTACACAGGCCCATGTTCTTTGCAATATACTGTTGAAAAGCAGAGTAACTTAATAAACTGCAGAGCCCACTACTGTTCTTGCTGTAGCTAAACTGCTTTTGATACATGAACCAGTCTCATACATTGTAATAGCATTGATTTACCCTATAAATGTTTCCAGTGAAATACATCAGAATTCAGATATGTTTTCCCTTCCAACCATAGGGGCCTCTCTGCTCTTCAGAGCCTGTCTTCCAGGAGGTATTCTAGAATAGAAGATGCTGCACTGCCACTTGTGACTGGTCTTTAAGAAGACACACCCCACTACAGACTGAACATTGCCCTTTACAAAGCTCTTTTCAGCTCTTCCAGAGACAAAAACTGAGCAGCTTTGACGGAGCAGCTCCGCTAAAAGTGCTTATTTGATCAGCCTGGTTTCACGCTCAAAGTGCTTTTCGTCTCACTGCCCCAACCATCTGCTCTCTCGTGACAGCAGCTCTGCCACCCTGTGGGGATCTGCCTTCGCTGCTGGTCAGCAGTAGCTTCTCTCCAGAGAGAAGAGCCAGCTCCTTTGGGGAGGTCTGTCAGGGTCGCACAGGTCAGCAAGAAGCAGGACCGCTCATTTGCCTTAAACCCCGGGACTAGGCAGACGCCCAGCTCTGACACGCAGCTGCTGGTGTGAACAAGTGCTTCCCCTACTCAATGCATCGGTTTCTAGTGCACTGAAATGCAGTTAGAGAAGCTTGTTTTCCCTGTAGGGCACACATACAAAGTGTGGTGCCTCAATAAAATACCATTCTTTTAAAATAGAAAAGACCTGCGTCTGCTAAGATACCACAAGGGTCACTGGCTTTTCAGTGTTTAAAACCTCTCTTCTTGTTTTGGAGGGAGTTTTGGGTAGCTGCAGAAAAAAAACATGCATTTACAACAGCAGAGCTAAGCAAAGCACACATGAAATACATGCAAGTGAAGGAAATGCAAAATCAGTTTGCATTCAATCAGGAGCAAGCTCAGAAATCAGACACAGACAAGGTGTCAAAATGTCCTGACATAACTGGATAAATAGCTTGGTCAATCCTGGCATCTATTTACATACATCATAAAATTTTGGGTATCTGAGGCACTACTTGTATTTCCAGAATCATAAATAAGCCCAACCTTGTTTTGTGTGGGATCTGACTTCCTATTCTAGCTTACCCCAAGAGGAAGCATAACACAGGCTGTGGGCTGCATATGACTAAAAGCATTATAAATCTATAGGCAACTATGAATTCTCTGCTACCAGTGGAAAGTGAATAGAGTGTTAAGCAGACCCTAGTTCAGCCATAATGGACATGTAACTTAGAATATTTCTCTGGATTTAACGTTGTGCCCTAAATTGTATCCCTGCCTACTTTTCATCACTCTTTGCTGGATTTTGCATATCCATTTCCATTTTGAAATTCACATCTTTTGCATAAAGTTAGAAAAAACCCAATAACTTCAATGTCATCTGGTCTTAAAAAGTTTTGGGTTTAAACCCTTGTGGTTTTAACTTTTCAAATGACCAGCTCTGCCAGTTTTCCTTCACATCCCTCTATCAGCAGGGTGACAATGCTTTGAGCACTTCTGAGCCAGCTGCTAAAAACATAGACTGTGTAGTGAGAAAGTCAAACCCATGCTACACCAAGAACTACAAGTAAAGGGCATAAATCAGCATTTAAAGAGCTACTAAGCACAAACATCCACCTACTGTTATTACAGTATGTCTGCTCTTCCAATCTTTAGAAAGAACTATGTACTGAATTAATACCCAATAAATAACCTTGCAAAATCTGGCGAGGTAAAATAACTGATTTAAAGTATTTGTGTGTGTGTGTGTGTGTGTGTGTTAGCCCTCAAAATTAGCAAGTTTGACAAAAGGCAATGGCATCTCCCACTTTAACTTCATCTGGAGGCAAAGTGGATAGATAATACTGAAGCCACAACAAACATCACACTGGTTTTGTTCCAGTGGTCTCATGGGACCATAAAATCCAATGACATTAAGCTTCCTGTTACTTAGCACTAGATGATGAAAAAATCATTCCTCGAGAGAATCTCTCCCAGTTTTAAGACTAGGCACAAGCTATAGGAACTGTGCTCCAGGCAGTAAAAAACCAGGGGAGATATTTCTTTCTGTCTTTCTCAGTTGTTTTACCCTTTGAACTGTCCCGAACAATTCCTTTCTGCGTGCTGACTACTCGAAAAGTTGTTGCCTTGCCACCCGGCAGAGCCTGTGCCGTACGTGTCCGGCAAATCCCGTAAATCAAGCGCAGGGGCAGCACAAAGCTCCGCTCCTCCCTCGCCTCTCCCGCACCTGCTGCTTTCAAGCGGCGCTGCGAGTGATGGAGGCAGCCCGCGCCGTACCAGGGGCCCTACAAACGCAGAACAAAGGGGCTTCTCCCCCAAAGAGATTGCAACTGAAATCTAAGGCATAAAGGAACAGCTGAATCCACAGAGGCAGGGGAGTCTGGTTTTGTTCTCGCCGCACTTTCGCACGGGCAAGAAGCAGGCAGGGCTGAACTTTTGCAGGGAGAAAAAATGGTCCTAATTTTGCACTCTTGTTTTAAAAACTAGACTGTTTTGTTTCCAGGGCAGAGCTTTGTTGCAGTGCTGAAAAGAACTCTAATTCTCCCACCTGTTGTTTTCCCCCGTTGCTCACTCAGGCTCTCCCATACATACATCCTGTTTGCACACGGAAACTGCTGGGAACATGGCTGGTGATTTTATTTTGCTTGCGGCTGTCTCTCTTCTTTCCGCCTTCCAGCAATGTAAGAAAGAGCTGTGAGTTGTATGGCTGGGGTTTGGGGAGTTTTCCACTGGTTTTGAAGTACTGGGATTTATTTTGTGATAAATTGGTTGCTCTCTGACTGATAACTCGTAATATTTTTTAACAGAAGCATTGTTTACCCTCTCTGTAGTCTGAGAGGCTCAGTGGGACAGATTACTTTTCCCTCTGGGGAGAAACTAATTTGTTTTGAATTCTCTTTTGTTTGTTGATTTTTTGGAATCATACCATTATCAGAGCTTGTAACTGGCTGTAAAGTTACTTCAAAGCCACACTGTGTCTTGGTTTTGATTCTTATTTAAGCATCTATACAACTTAAAACCTAGTAAGTGAGAGTAAATTTGTGAAATCAGATACAACAATGCTGGACTGAAAGCACTGCAAAAGGATGTTTCCAGAAATAGGGATATATACGTAGTATCTGAAATGAAATAAGAAAGCAAACCTTTACACCAGGCAACAAAAAGACCGGCTATTCCATATTATGTTCTCATCACTCCATTTCTTTAAGATCTAAATGGACTTATTTTATGCCCTGCAGATATACCTCTGAGAATCAAGGAATAGGCTGCCCAGGGAAGTAGTAGAATCACCATTCCTGGTAGTGTTAAAAGGGCATGTGGATGTGGTTCTTGGGGATGTGGCTTAGTGGTGGACATGGCAGTGCTGTGTTAACAGTTGGACTGGATGATCTTGGAGATCTTTTCCTACCTTAATGATTCTCTTCTATGACTAGAAATGGGCGAGCCTGAGATGCTGGTTTTGCTGTGTATCAACCTGAAACTGCAGTATGATTTTTAATGTTTGTCATTATTTTCTTTGAAACGTGTTGATGCATGTAGTTGTGTTTACACCAGGGAAAAGATACATTTTGAAGACATTTATGCTATGAGATTTAAAGCAAGTTAAAAATAATTACCCTGCCTTTTTTCCAAGTATCTATAGCACTGCCAACTTACCTAAGCAACCTATCGATGTGGCTTGATTGTTCATTTGTTCTCAAAGCCTCAGCTGCTGAAACAACATCTGTATCCAGCAGGAAGAAAAAGCTTGAGAATCTGACCCTTCCAGTTTAAAAAAACCTCAGCACAACAGAAGGCAAATATAAAGCACTGAAAATTTACATTCTCTTTCTCTGTCATCAGATCAACTACAATAGACGCTGGGATCTCTTTCTATCTGTATAACCCTGTGTCTACCTGGTGGCAATATTTGTCATGAACTTCCAGGAAAGTTCAGCTGGCCTGCCTTTATTTTTAACATAAAAATGTGAAGGATTAAAAACAACCAAACGAAAAACCAAACATTATTTGGAAAAAAATTGCAGCTTGAAAACTCAAGGAGTTTGTACAGATACTGAGAATTTGAAAGGAGTTGGAAAATACCTGTATTCTTCCTTATGATGGATAATCCATATTAGTTAATCTTAGTTAAAATCACGGAAAAGGTGATATAACCTGGGGTTTAATTTACATTGGCAGTCTGACATCAAGCCCAAAGAGCAACCTGTGTAAGACTCTGATCAGCTGACCTGATTTAAACCATCACAGCTTGGTGTACTCTCAGCATGCTTTCTAGCATGGGTAATACAACACAAATTAATTGATGGAAGTTCAAATGAATGTTGTGAAACCAGGGCTGTAAGCATGTGTTATAACCAGTTCATGCAAGGGGAGCAGCCCAGCATGTGAGTGTTTGCTGTGAACTGGACGTGACATACACAGCACTCATGCACTGTTTGCTCTTCTGTCTGTTCTGCTGAGCCTCCTCCAGTCCTGAGTTAGGAGGGTGCTACTGGGCAATACCACCTCCCTGAAGCAGTGGTGGAAGTTGGGTTTCACACAGCAGCCATCAGAGGTACAAGGTTTTGTGTCTCAGAACCACGAGTTATTCAAAGAATCAGGTCAGTCGAAGATGAAGTGGTGCGAAAAATGCCCCAGGGTAGAAAGAAGGAGCAGGAACAACGCAGGAAGTGGTTTCCAGTCATGAATCCAGTTTTAAGCAGTTGAGATTTGCTTGAGATATTACTGTTTCGTAGACTGATGGGAATACAAGGGCATTCAATGAAAGGGCAGAATGAATCCCAGTCATTGATACAGAAAAGAGCAGGGACCCAGGAGTCTCACTACTCCTCTATTTTGAATCATTTCTCTGAACTAGTGACTTTTAAAATAATTTTTAGTATTTCCAGGGCCTGGCAAGACATTATTAAAAAGTATTTGATTTGTTTTTTTACGGACTGTGAGGCCAGGCCATGCAAATTAATATGAACTATCATACACTGTGATACAAGTAGCAGCTCCTCTGCAGGCTTTTTACACATATAAAATGTTTGAGAGTAATATTCCTTGAAAGCCTACTTTGTCCCACGTTTTCAGAGTAAAACTATTAACTCAGTAACCATAAATGCCACCTGAAGATAAAAGCAAAAAAAAAAAAGGCTAACAAAAGCAAGTCAAGCATACTTTGTAACTACCTCAGTCATGTAATTTCACCTGTTAGAATTGAACAACTTGATACAGGGGGAAAAAATGGCTATGAAAATCTTTACTTACTCCTGCTGCACTGCTTTCAGGAGTCCTCATGATAGCACCTCCTGTGAGAGGGGCAGAAGAGCGCACCCATTGCTTTGTTATTTACTCCAGCCCTTGTTAAACCATCATCACAAAACGTTAATTTGGAGTTACATGGAAAGTTTCCATTCACCTGGGGGGAATTAAAAGGCAAGTCCTATGCAGTTAACAAAAACCACAGTAATCATTTCTCTCCTGAGATCTTTTTGCCTCCCTGGTTGGTATCTGTCTAGTTCTGCACACCGGGCTCACCTTTTCTTGTAAGATGACAGACATGACTTTTGTTCTCCTGCTACGCAGTGCCATGGCTTGGCTTTCACTGGTGTCCATTTGAAGCCAAGTCCCCATCAATCACAGCAGAAGCCACTAAATAAGTGCCTTTTATGATGGGTGGCTGTACCAGCACACTAGCACAACCTGCCTCTGCTTGCAGTTAACCAGTCTCCCATGTCCCAATCTCCACCCCTCAAACCTTGTTGACCAAGCAATAGCAGGGGCAAATCACATTACAGCTGAGGCCAGAGGTGTAGCACAGCCTTGATGATTTGCTTTGGTTAATTGTACTAAACAAAAAAGGATGATTTTGCCCCTACAGTGCCTTAATCTTCTTATTTTCCCCAGTAAGTTTATTTTGTCCAGCATCCACTCAAGGCTTTTTTTTAAAAAAACTGAATTGTATGTCATGAGCTACCTTGGCTTGCCTTAGTTCCTCAGTAGAAAAAACCTAGTCCCAGATTGATTGTATACCTAGAATGGCTCATTGCAGCCAGAAAATAAGGAGCATATTACTGGTTAAAAATGCCATTGCACAAAACACTACAGCTCACCCACCCCTTTGACAGATAAGCCAGGTAGGACTTCCCAGCGTGTAGCATTTGTCATAAAACTAGATCATTTTGAGGGCAACAAAAGTTAAAAAACAACTTTTCAGTTGTTTTCAGGGAAAACATTTCTCAGAGGTAATTCTTGTTCCTCTGTACGTTTCAATCTCCATGAAGAATGTTCCCTAAACCCTCTCCAGTGCTATTCTTCCCTTCTGAAAGGACTGCAAGGCGGCAAATAACAAATGAAACATCAGGCATAATCACCAGGCTCTGTGGGGGCAGAGAGGGTCCTGCTGGATGCAAATGCAATGAAAGGTCCTGTAAACATGCCTTGTAGAGAGACAGCTGAGCTGCTCTGACTAGCTTCTGGAGAGAAAGGTTGAGAGGTCACTTGAGCACAGCCTGTAATTACTTATATGGGGAGAAGACAGATGGCAAAACGTCTTTTTGGGCTGAGGGCTTTGGCCACAAGGCTAAGACATAAGAGGTGCATGGGATAGCACCACTAATACCTCTAGCTGTATTTTAGTGCCACTGCTCCCAGAAGGGAGGATGGAAGGTATGTTCTAGGCTCTCACCTTAGACAAGCCTTTTTAGTGGACTCAGGTGGGTGCCTGGTTTCTGGATCCAGATAGTTTAGGTACAAGGTAGGCAGTGAGCTTCTCAGGGTGGCTAGGAACATGTGGCTTCTCAGGACACGGCCAGGAAAATAACTTAGAGATAATAATAATAATAATAATAATAATAATAACAACAACAACTCCAGGTACCCAAAGAGTTTTAAAGGCAAACAGGGTGTTGCTCAGTAGCTCTGCTGCATTCAGCAAAATGCTCTCCTTTTATCCCTGCAACAGCCTCTGTTCAACTTTAAGGGGGAGACTTCTGCAATGAGAACATAAATAAAACGAAATATGCATATACATGTGGGATGGGATCCTAGAATTACGGTCAGAAGTGTAGAGATAGTGTTTGACTGCTTTGGGGTTTTTGGTAAGTAAATTATATTTAGTCACTGTACAGTAAGTAATCTCTCTTTTTCATGGCATGGCATCAGTTCTAAAAAATGCTTTTTACAAGACAGGTAAGTACTATCAGCTCAAGTCAGTGGAGGAGAAACAGCATAAGTTCCTCCAACAAGAAGCTCTCAGAGCTCTCCAGCAGATCAAGTGGAGAGCAGGGAACAGGCTACAGCCTCACCAGTTGCAACTCTCTCTGCTCTTTCCAATAGACTGAATTTTTGAGAGTCCCAGACAGATGGAAAAGCATGTGCTCTAACATATGGATAAATAACTTTAAAACGGTAGCTACCAGATTTTTGTTTCCAAAGACTGCAAGACTGCCCTGTCCTTTAGAGCCTCATAGCTGTTAGTGTCACTAAAACAAAATGACCATATGTCATTCAGACTAGTGGGGAAGTGACTTCCATCGGTGCAGCTTGGTTTGAGATGCTGCTAAGGCAACACCCTACTCCTGAAGTGTGACTAGACTGCTCCTGAGCTGTGTAGTTCGAGGATTCAGGTGAGGTGGAAGGATATTTAAGTCATAGCAAATGCAAATGCAAAAAGAAAACGAATGTATTTCTGAAATAACAATTTCCCCCCTTCTCATGGATGTCACTCGAAGATAAGATCGAAATTTTTGTAAGGAAAAACTGGTTTATCTAATATTGGTCTCTTTGTGCCGAATGAAATGGAGAAAGCAGAAGAACAATGATCTCCATTTAAAAAATTAAGTTAAAAAAAATGTGTGTTAGAAGTGGAACTGGAGTGAGGAACTGTGTCATTTGTGAGCTCTTATTCTGGTTTGCAGGTTATTTTGCTTGGCTGGTGGGGAAATCAAGAATGAAGCACAAGGTCATGCCCCCAGCTGTCACTGGAGCTCCAGAATTTGACAGAACGTTTCGTGCACAGTAAGTCTAGAGATCATTAAGATGGTGGCAGTGAATAACAATTCAGTCCAGAAGAGAAGCAAAAACTTTATCTTAAAAAGGCACCTTTTCTTTTCATCTTTTGCTCAAAAGAACCCAACAACAACAACAACAAACAAACAAAAGAAAAAGAAAATGAACAAATGACTTTTCAAATGGTTCAGATGTTATTTTAATAATAATGGGGTAAGTTCAGCTCATCTCACAGTCACTGTTCAAATTCTGATCAAACTAGGCAACCAGATTACCCAAACTTAAGTAGGATCTGAGAGCTAACACTGTAGCTTGGTCAGATGTTCTGGATCTAGCAAGCTGTGCTTGTCAGTTCTTGGGTTGTGGCTATCACCAAACGTGAAAGAAGAGCAAAGAAAAACTCTGTCTTCACAGTGGATAATGGTGGAATAGACAGTCTAAGAAGACTATTTTCCTAAAGGGCTTCAGTTTGTGATTAACTAATGACGCTGTGCAAAATTGTTTATATTTATTTCAAACAACCCTCTCCGCTGTAACTGTAGTTGTAGTGGATAACAATAATGGGACACACAATACATTAGACAAGTTATTAGTCAACATGATATGTTAGATAAAGAAGCTTACGTGATTCCTTAAAAAGAAATTCATTCGAACAACCAAGAAAAGATATCCCAAGAAAATATTAGTGGTGATGATGTTCACAAATAAAGGTCCTCGCCATAAGAAGATCTGTCATGTGCTGTCTGTGCCTGATAGCACTTCATAAAAGCAGCTGGCCTCAGCAGAGCAATCCAAGCAGCTCTGTGCTTCCTCTGGCAGTCCTGGTAATGCTGACCCACAAAACTTGCACACCAAGTATGGAGACAAGTAATTAACATCACACCCATGTGCTGGAATTCCCACCTTTCTCTGCTGCATAGGCACTTGATTTAGGGTTATTTGTCCTATTTATTTCCATGTAGTTGGGATCCAGATCCTTGCTTAAATTTAAATACCAGGAAAATATTTTAAATAGTTTGTACTGGAGATCACAAAGGAGAGAATTTTAGGAGTACCTAATGCTGCCTTGACTGTGCTTCCACTGGACTCGATAGGATTAACTTTAGTGGCAACAAAACGAAGCCAAAGCTGATCCTCCTGGAAAATCCCACCCATAGTCCTTTTCCTTTCCAAACTGATGTTCTTTCAAATTTATTCTGCAGACAAAACTGTGTGGAGTTTTACCCAATATTTCTGGTTGGCCTCTGGACTGCAGGATGGTTTTTTAATCAAGGTAAACACTTTCTGCTTTTATTTTGAACTGAGAAGTTTTGCATAACTTTTAAAAACCACTTTAGTTCCATCAGGAAGTAGGCATTTCCCCCCCTGCTTTTAATTTCATTACCCTAGCACAGCCTTCTTAGAGGAATGCTCTGTGGCACTGAAATCCCCACTTAGTCACAGCATTTCGTGTAGCCCCACCAGCTTCCACTTCTCTCTGCAAACCAAGGAGCCAGTACAACACATTTCCCAGGAATTCAGCGAATTTTCAGGGTGCATTATTCAGAAAAGCAGCTTCCAGACGCTCTCCATTAACAATTATTTGCACATTATGGGGCAATTCTCACAGAACATCAGGCACAGCTGCCGTCCCTCCGGGAGGAGGCAGCCTGAAAAGACTCAGGTCAGAGCACTCATGCCTGTCTGATGGAGACAGAGCTCAAGCCAACAAAGCTTTTTGCTTTTACATCCCCAATGAGAGACACCACCACTGGGCTGTGACTCATTTGCTTGCCGTGGGACACAGCCCTGAGTGCTGAAGCTCAGTCACAGCAGCAGCATCTTCAGGTGTGCAGTGGGGACTCTTGAAAACCTATTGTGTTTTCTCAGGCACCTAGCAGGGGGGCATTTTTTGCCAAATGTTCTGAACTCAGACACATCAGAGCTTTCATACCCCTCACTCTGTTGGACTTTGCAAGGTCGGCCCGTGATATCTCCTGACAGTGATGGGCTGGTCTCTCATAGAACTAGAACTTGTGACAGAGCCTAAATTTTACATTCTGCTTTATTAACCCTTATCCAACTAATGTTTTAGAAGCGTGTGGGCTTCTCCATTTTCTATATTTGCTCCAAAACAGTCATTGTAGTTTGGAGCTCTCTTACAGACAGAAGTCCCATCTCCATTGTAAATCCACTGTAAATCTAAAGAAGTACCACCTAAGCCAACAAATTGAATATGAAATAATAGATGTATTCATAGACAGACACTTGAATCCAGGAAAAATCACAGTTGCTAATGAGCAACACAAGTACTGTCACATGTAAGAAATGAAGGATGACTATAAACTCCTCTAAGTAAATTTTTAGTTATCTCCCACAGGTATGTTTACGTGAGTTAGTCCAGAACACAGCAAAAGCTGTCCTCTGTAATACCCACACACACAGTTTGAAAACACAAAATTAACAGGCACTGCCTAGTGCTGGATAATACAACCTGCACTGGACCTCCATAACCTCCTCCATCTCTCAAATGGAGGTGACTTTGTACTCTTCCCTCAGGGAGGTCAGAAGCTAACTTCAGTACATGTCCTTGGATAAAAGATGCTATATAAATGCAAAGCAGCTTATTAACAACATAAATAAGATTCTCTTTCCAAAACAAACACTCCCCTTTAGCATGGACTGCCGTAACAATATGAAATAGCAGCAGGCCAAGCCACAGTGCTCCAAACCACTATCCTGTCTCTGGGATAACCACCAAACCAGGGAGGATACAGATGCCTGTCAGTTCCTGAGTTCTCCTTTTGAGGGAATTCTTTTATATTTTTTTGGACAGTCCTATATGCACCTTATCTGTAAACCCATACCAAGAGCCTCCTGCAGTGAGTGTTTAAGAATATATATATATGACTCTTTTCAATGATTCTTTTCCAAGGTAACTTCCCAGCGTATGGACAGCTATGAAAATGCCCAGAGCTATATAACTAGAAAACATATCTAAAGTGGTGAACTGCCATCCTCAATTTTAGTTTTCTGTTTTTCCCACTCTATTAATCTTTCCTTTCCCAGAATTAGCTTCCTTGCTGGGTGTGCTGTACGTGTTTGCCCGCTACAAGTACTTCCATGGTTACGTCCAGTCTGTGAAAGGAAGGTAAGGAGTCACCAGCTGAATGCAGGCTACCAGCTCCAGGCAGTGGCCTGAAGCTGGGCTGAGAGCCAGGGACTGGCAGTGAAAAGTGATTATGATTGAATGCAACATGTGTGAAGTGTCAGCAATAGGTCTGAAGGAGAAACCCTCAGGGAAGAGGGGTGGGTGTTGCAGCAGAAGCCTAGGTTAAGATGAGCATGTGCTACAGGTCAGGAGAAAGAAAAGGTTTGATGCTCACCTTGTGGGCACCTGCTTTGGACTGGGCATAACTGACAACCAGACTCGGAGAGGTCTGAAAACAGAAGCACAGTTTTTGCATCTCATCAGGGTGGGAGACTGTTCATGCAAGGCCTGGACCATGTCTGTCTGTCTGCTCTTTTGCATTTTTCTTCAGTTTGTCACAGTAAGACCTTGTCTCTAGCCATACAAGTTGATCTAGAGGAAGCAAACAATCTGGCCTTGTAGGCTGATGAACTTTCACCCAACAGATAAGAGAACATGGCTTCGGATAAGAGTATGTTAATAAATGTTTTGTGCACAGTGCCTCCTGATATGAACTCTGCTTCAACAAACATGCACACTGGCAAAACACCCTCCACTGTAAACACTGAAATACGTGATTTATTTCTTGTTTCACTGAAGCCACTGCACCACCACCTATGTCCTGACCTCAGGCTCTCTTCCACCACCCATTATCAGTCATAAGAAGAAAATAGCAAGATGTATGCTTGTCAAAAAATTAAAAGACTTGCAATGTCTTCTAGAGGAAGATAGAAAACAATCAGATTATTTAGCAGTGAACAATCCTGCAGCAGTAAAAGGCTGTCCTACAGAGTTATTTTCCATGGTTTGTGTACTGAAGTTACCATTCTCCTTCACTACAGCTCCACTGATCCTTTACCCACTTTTGAAGAGCTGTTGCTTGAGAGAAGGGGGAGGCTATGTTTTCCAGAGCAAATATATGGAGATAGTTTTATATCTCCCAGTAAGAGATGCAATCATTTGAATGGTGCAACGAACACTAGCCAGAAGAGCTGCAACTGCTAAGGAAGTTTGGGGAGCAGACATGTAAATAAATGAAGAAGGAGAGCATAATGGATTTTTTTTAATCAACAAACAAAAAAGTACTTTGTTTGAGAGATCTTTCCTATGTATTACTTCAGTACTCTTAAAACAATAGATTCTGCCTCTCAAGAAAACCATAAATCAGTGGCTGGCTTCACTATTAGACAGAGCTTCACATGTTGGTGAGACTGGTTTCTTTGCATCAAACAGAGAGTGCTGAAAGCCAGCCTGGCAGCCCTGGGAAATGGCTTTGCTACCAAGGCCTGCCTGGTGCTAACCTCCAGCAGGAGCCTCAATTAGCAACAGGTCAGCACAAGTCAGGTGTGTAGAACCTGGCCCCAAAACATACAACAAGCCTCCAGCAGCCTTAGTAGCAAGAAACTAATTTGTCTTCAACCTGAATCTCAATCCTAATCACTGACTACAGGCCTGCTAGTTATAAAGACAAATCTAGACTGCATGCTCAAAGAAGTGGTTACAACTAGGGCTAAGCAAAAGACTTCCTCCATGCTCTCTTGAAACTGAAAAAATCCCATACTTCATCATTTTCAAATCTGCATCTAGACATGGCATGCTCAGAGAGGCTACTTATATCAAGTCTTTAGGCACCAGTAGGATACTCAGGCTCTTCCTTTCTGGTCCAAAAATCCATCTCGAAGTCAAAGTGATAACCAGTTGCAGACTTGTCAGCTCAGCAGAGAGTATCTGCCCAATAGAAGTGGGTATCTGCCCAACAGCAAAAGTCATGTGTGTCATGTGAAAAGTCTCGGTTTATTCCTAAAATACCCCAAGCTAGTGTTGCAGCAGTGATCCTTTCTGATTCCACACACCTCTTCCTAACTTTTGTGGACAATTTCACTGTAATATACCATGTACAGCTTATAACAGTGTTTTTCTGCTTTCCACTTCTAGGTTAACAGGCTTTTATTTGAATTTGATAGTTCTAATTTGCTTGATAGCCCTGGGTGCAGCTGGGATTGTTAGCAGCTTTCTGGATGAATACCTGGACTTCAGCATTATGAAGAAAGTCCGTAAATTGCTCTGAAGACTGACTGTCTTTTTGAGAAATAAATAAATAAATAATGTGGATGCCTTCCCTGGACACCAAAAAGATGATAAGCTCCATGTGAATAAAGCATCAGAGCTCTTTACTAACAGCCTGTTGCAATGTAAAATGCATGTTTTTCCTGAGCTGTTTACACTTTCTTCTTTCCCTACACTCTTGAAAAAGTCAGTAAGACAGAATGTCATGTCACATCTACATTTGCAATTAAATGCTCTCTTTCCCTGGCATGGTATTGCAATCTCTAAACAAATTACATAAAACTAAACCCATTAATTCCCTAAGTAATTTAGTTGCAACTGGCACTACAAGCACGTTACCCAATCTCCTTCAGCTTTGCCAGAGCCTCTGTAGTCTCCCTCCACTCCTCTTCATTTCCCCCAGCAGTGCCAAATGTAGAAACATAATTTCATGCAATATGTTGCTGGGAGGTCCCTGTTTCCCAAGTAAATCCAATCCCACTGCTGTATAAGCATATATGGAAACACTGCTTTCCCAAGAAAACACTTAAAGCTGCTCTTGGCCCTGTGTTTCTGCGAAGATCTTTTGATTTTATACACATGTTTACAGTCCAACACATGCTCAAACACTCTTTCTGTAGAAGTGAGGCCCTCCCAGTCCTCACAGAAAGCCTCTTGAAGAAGGCAGGCTGTAGGCACGTCACACTTCTGAAGGGGAGAGCCAGCCCAGACAAACAGAAGGCACAGAAGCTTTCTAATAGTGTACTGAGGTTGATAACCTAACCACAAAATAATTGAGAGGTGGATCAGGTCCACAGTAACCTTTCATATGAAAAAGGTGGACACATATGGACACATCAGAGGGGGGGTTTGGAAGGAGATGGTCTTTAAGGTCCCTTCCAGCCCAAACCATTCTGTGATTCTACGAAGTTATCTCATGATAAAAAGGCACAACTTAATGCCTGCAGGTAGCAAAGGCTGAAATGGCATTTAAAACATTAAAATTAAACAAGTTCAAAGGTGCAAGGCTTGGGTCCAGTGATGGCTGCCAAGGAAAAAAGGATAGGTGGTGATGGTGATCATGACGGTGAACAGACTGGAGCTGACACAGCTACAGAAAGGGCAGCTCTCCATCACTTAACTCCAGGGAGAAAGTACAACAGGACCACATCTAACTACCACATAAATCACCAGGAATTCTTCCATTAACTTTTCTTTTATGGGCTGAAATATGGAAAATCCACCTACCCACCTGCTGGTGATGCCTTCAGTCAGTCACAGGCTGCAGGAAGTGCTGCCTCCCGAACCAAAACAAAGACAAAGGTCCAAACCATGGAACAGACTTGAAATACAGATTAGAGGAGACCAGAGGTCATTAACTGTGTTTAAATAGGTCTTTCTTTGCCTCTGAAATTATATCATTTCAAGCTTACCTGTTGTAGTTCTTTAGTGTGTTTATAGATAGCTTCCCTCTCCTCCCCTCCACTTTCACAGAAAGAGAGAAACTGCTTTCACACACAAGGACAATTTCATATGTCAAAAAAGACAGGTGTGAGGCTGCAAAGTGTTATCTGGCAACACAGAGCCAGAGTGCAAGGGGATAAACATGAACCTAACATTTTAGGAGCTCCACCAGCTAATGAGAGGGCAGAAGTAGGCCTGGAGTTGAGGATGCCACCTGTTTTCTGAGTCACAGCTTTGTCCCCAGTAAGCCAGGGCAGAATGCCCGTGATGGAAAAGTGTTAAAGACTGACTCATCTATAATTAAAATCAAAACACACCTCTAACAGATGGATGCTGGCAGTGTCAGTGTTTGGTATGAATGTAGTGAGAAGAAGCACACCACTTCCTGCCTGCTGGTGGAGGAGTCAGTACCAGGGTGCACATTCAGCACACACTGTGAGTTGATGCAAATGTTCCTGTTGTAAATGTTCACCTGTTGGTCACTAACAGAAATGATGATGGTCCCCACTGCAGCCTCAAAGCCAGTTGGCACCCAACAGCCTCTTGATGAAAGCATCTCTTCTAAGAAAGCACATGCTTGAGGTGTACACTCCAGCAAGCTGCTCTCCTTCTTTGGCCAGTCTCCTTCTTTGTTCTTCCTTATCCATATCTAGAATGATAAAGGTCTTGGAGTGGCATTAAGGAGAGAAGGGGAACCTCACCTTTAAGGCTGTACGTGGAGCCAAGCCACACTGGCATCCTGAAGGTCCGATGTCTGAACCCTCAAGACTCCCCCATAGGCTGGAAACATGTACAAAGTGGTGTCAAGCCTTGAAGTCTATGTGGCATGCTTACCTTGAACAGCTCATACACATTCAGCAAGTCCACATCTGTGTTCCAAAAGGCTTTTGACAACACCATTCTCATCCTGTCGTAGCAGTAGGTGACAGGGAACTACTCTGTGTCTTCATGCTTCCCCAGTTTCCCCACCTCTTTTCTCCAACTTCTGCATCCAACCCCACATCTCCCTTCTTCCACCCCATCTCACCTCCTCAAATTTCAGCCACAGGACTCCCAAATCCTAGGGTCTCCATCTTGTCTCCTCCCCTGAAAGCACTTCCCTACTCCCCACTTTTGCTCCTTACACACAAAACCCACAAAAGTTTGGAGCTGCCACATTTAACGGGTCCAATTACGGACCAACTGCCCCACAGCATCTGCCTGACCACAGGCCTCACCTCAGAGCACAGGAAGTTTTGGTAGCTCACCTTGCTTGAGAAAGGGGCACCATGGCCCCAAAGCACAGCAGAAGGTGGTGAAGCACTCCCTGGCCAGCAGCTCATTACAGCAGTCTGTGGCTCAGCTGCCACAGGAATAGAGACAGCTGCTGGGGGCTGCCTGGCAGGGCTGCCTGGGATTCAGGGATTCACACATGCCTGCCTGCATCCAGCTTCCCTCCCCTCCTTGGAAGATCACTCATCAAGGCGCAGAAGTGGGGCAAGAGATGATCCATATACATCAGGTATATGAGTCAGATAACCATCTTTTATTTGGGTTTCTTTTTTTGTTTGTTTGGGTTTTTTTGTTTGTTTTGTTTCTTTTTCTTTAAAAGTGGTGTTAACATCAGGTCTTTCTCTACATTTTCAGAGCTCTGTACAGGTCTTAAAAGGAAATAAGCAATGCTTAATGTACAAAGTAAAACCAGAAAGCTAGAAAAATCTGAATAAAATGGAGCAAGTTGCTGTCAGGGATACAGTACAAATTAGTAATTAGACGTCATCTGAAGTGCAATACCACTGCAGTAAGGATGAGTTAAGGAATGAAATAAAAATACTCTATTTTAAACAAACAGTATATATATATATATTTATATGTATATATTTTACAGATAGTAGACCCAGTGATATCTGTAGAATTGTAAAAACATATTTACAAATAACTTTTTTTTTTTTAACATTACATATACATCAGCACCATAGGAAGAAAGAAGAAAAAAAACAACCCCAAATCGAATAAAATCTACTTTCTAGTACTTGATCCCAGTATGGAGTATTTGGAGGAAGCTTTACAAAGACAACAGAGACTTGTCTTCATCACCATTTATTCACCAAAGTCTGACTCTCCCTGATGCGCAGGGACCTGCATTTTGCTGCCACATGGTGGTTGTGTGTTTCTAAACCTTCCTTTCCCAGCTCTGGCACCCAAGGAAGGGATGCTGTGCCACCCCCAGCGTTGCCCCCCATCGAGCAGGCTGGGGATGGCTCCCCACCCTGTCACAACTCCATCACACAGCGCTGGACAGATGTGTGCCTGACACGCAGAGAGACAGCACCTTGGTTACTGTTTCTCTCAATGTTTGCCTCTCCCATTCTGACCAAGAGGTGCTTACACTCAAGACTGACCAAAAACTTTGGCTGGTGCTCCCTTACACTGACTTAGGGCCCAACCTGGCTCCTTGCTGAAGCAGAGACAGGCAAACCTTGATGGTCTTCAACAGGAACTGGAATTGGTCCTTGTGTTTTAAAAAGGGGTTGGCTAAAAGAGATGCAACTAAAGCTGTTTTAAAAAAATATATCAGCCGGGGCAGGCTGGATTGACAGCTCACCTTGAGCACATTAAAAATGCAGCTTGTCCTGCTGATATCATAGCATGTAAAACAGGTAATTCCCTTCCTCTAGGAAGGCCCTGCAAGGTGATACTGTGCAAAAGGGAACCCAATGGGGCGCTGAGATGGTTCCAGGCCCATTTGCTCCCACTCTTTGATGTGATGCATATCTGTACTCCACAGGGAAAGGCAGGATGTGAAACTGCAAAGTGCCAATGCCCTCAGCCTCCGTGGATTTCAGCGGCTCGGCACTTCACACCGCTGGGCCCGAGGAGAGCAGCACACAAGGAGGTAATTGGTAGCTGGAGAGGTGGCACTGATAGTCATACACTTCTGCTGCAAAGCACAGCTGATGGCTAATGGAGGCCAGCACTACGTCAGAGGGTAGTAGTCCAAAAGTTCTGGACTCTGGATCACGTTAACATTTTTTATGCACCGCTATGTAACCTGATAAGCAGCTCTCAGCTGAAAACACTAAAAAGATTCGAGGTTTGGGAGAACACCTTTCCTCAGCCTCTGACTGCAGCTTGGGAACTGCTGCTTTACACATTCAGAATGGCTGGTGACTTGATATTGTGCGAGATATATCACAACTTCATTACAGTGCTGGTCAGCACTGGTCCACACAGTGGAGATAGTGATACATTGCTATCACGTAAAACCTTAGTTGGGCAGAGCCCATGTTTGTAATATCAATTATTTTACCCATTCATGAACGGTCTTTACAGTAGTCCTTCACTGGCTCCTGTTCTTCAAAAGCTGCATTGAATTTTATTCCAGCAAACCAGAGAGATTAGACCAAACATCTGTTTAAAACTGAACATAGCCCATCGAGAGACCAGACATCCCGGGGTAATACTACCTGCTAAACTTGCACTTTTCAGATGAGGAAGAGAAACTCCTTCTGTATGCCAGATCCTCACTGTATGTTTTCTCATGCCTATTTTCTCATCCCCTCTCTGCTCCTTTGTGGCTCACCTGAAAAAAATTGCAGCCAGCTCACCTTGCTTTACATTTAAGGACAGGAGGGGAGGGAAGTGAACTGAGAACATACTGTGAAGGAAGGAGAGGGAGGGACCCGCTCAGGACCTATGCTGATGTCTCTTGGTACCTCTCAGCCCTTTAACACCCCCAGGCAGCAGATACATGCCAAAGTGCTCTGACAGGGAAGCACTATTGCAAGTCCCAAGGGGACTAAGCAGCTCATTAAGTTAACCCACCCACCTAAGCTGTCTCCAGCAGCAGTCCCATAATCAAACTGTCCTCACAACACTGACAAATTTAATGTTCTCCTGCACTTGTACTGAAGTTTTATCTCTGCAGTGAAAATGGTGATCTCCCTGTGATTTGTTCAGGTTTATCACGTGAGTGCTGCACGTTCCCTTATGACAGCCCAGACCCCACCTGCCTACCCCCAGGGTTAAGCCCATCTCTGACCAGGGCTTGTGCAATTGCCCATGGACATCTGTGGACTTTGCTCCAGGCTTTTCATCTGCTCCCCTGAAAGCTGCAGTGTTCACAGTTATACGAGGTGGGAGACATTGTGAGCACCCCATACCACTATGCAATGAAACCTCATTTGAAGAGGGGAAAGAACAAATTTTCCCAACCAGAGGCATCAGCTGGCCTTTCCAGTTTCCCCACTCTGCCTCATACAGACACAAAGTAGGCACTGCCATACAGCAAAGGTTGCCTGGTAGAATGCCTTGAGATGCCAATGTTGTCATCGTCCCCTGAATCTTCCAAGGTTGGCTACAGATCAGCTCAGTTTGCATGATTAAAAACAACAGAAAACAAAACAACCTCAAACCAAAACAATTCAAACAAAAACCCAAAACCAACCATCCAGGGGTGGGGAGAACATCCAACTCTCTCTTTTCTTTTTCAAATGTAACAACCAAAGCTCCAGACTGTACAAGCCCATTCACTGGGGGTTTCCAAACAACTCATCAAGTTCTTGTATCCACTCATCCCCTGGTCCGCTCTTAATGATGGAGTCCACGAGGTCTGCGCCCTCTGCTAAACTGGAGAATGACCCCCCTGCTCCTTCACTGCTGTAGTTGTAAGGTATGTCCTGAGTGGGATTCCTCTCGTATGCTTGGCCTTGGCTGCTCTGAGCGAAGTTACCACCTGGCATTTGCTGCGTCGGGGGCTGGCTGAAGCCTGACATGGTGGGGACCCCTTGGCTGATTGCTGACATCACCATGGGCCTGGCCTGGCTGGCTGCCTGTTGCCCAGGTAGTGGTTGCAGCAACTGTCTTCCCAGAGCCGGGTTCAGGGTTCTTACTGTTCCACTTGTGTCCACAACTGTCTGATTGAGCCCCTGCGGGAAGTGCTGCTTGGACAGCCGGGGCTGCCCAGACTGCATCGCGTACGTGGTGCCGTTATTGAAGGGCCCCATTTCACCGCTAGTCCTTCCAGGGATGCCTTGCAAGCCTCGCTGTTGCCAGTTTTGTGTTCCTTGAGGGACAGTCCCCATCAGGTTCTGAAGTCGTGGTGCTTGTGGCCTTGGTAAGACCTGGCCCACAGGTCCTTTCATCTGCTGCTGATGCTGGGGAAGAGCGGAGTTTACCAGCATGTTCTGACCAAAACTGCCAACCATTCCCACCGCTTGTCCGGAGGCGGGCTGCCTCGTCCCCTGGCCTGCATTGTGTGCCATGTTTATGCTGCTTTGGTTTGGGTGCTGCAACATTTGGCTCATCCCTGTGCTCATACTGTACATTCCCGGCTGGCTGGAGGAGGCGTTGCTGTAAGGAGCCATGCCCACATCCGACTGGCCCGCAGTCGTGGGCAGCGTGCTCGGGTTCTGGGAGGGACCCATTGCCATCATGCTCGCGTTCTGGGCCATCATTCGGGATGTCCTCATGTTCTGGAGTGCTGCTTGGTTTCTCACAGCTGCTATATCCTGGGGGGAACCTACACCAAAAAGGGAGATAGGTAAGAAAAAAGCCACAACCCTGTAAACCTTAATTAACATGTCTTTGCACAAGAGAGAATCTGTAGGAGCCTTTTGCAGCGCAGTAGGATTTCAGATTGCTGTGCTTTCCAAGTGAATAAAACAACCTTTCATGTGAAGGTCAGCAGAGAGCCAGAAGGTTACCCATCCTTGGGAGATGTGCTTGGTGCCTAATGTTTACTGCCTTTCAGAGGCTACGTGTTCCCCACCTCACCTTGGCTGCAGCCTCTGTCCTGACCTGCCAAATTCCCTCTCCTGGAAGGTGAGAGCCAACACAGCTCCAGTGTTGTTCCTAAACAGGAATTGCCTGATGGTGTTGTGTATTCAATTGGTGAAGTGGGACGCTGCTCAGCAGAGAATTCCATTCCAACCTAATTTCCCTTCAGGCCTAACATGAGGATGGCAAGGTTAAAAGGCCAATGATTTACTCACTAAGTAATTCTCAATTAGGACAATTTTGGGATGTGTACCCAAAGGGATTCATGACTTCAGATTCTTTAAAAATCAAGGCAACACAACTGGATGTTTAATACATGATTACAGCCAGGGTTGCCTCCCTGGTAATAACCTAATCAAGTATCTAAGCTTGATGGTCACAGGAGCCACAGGGCTAAAATGGGCTTTTCTCTTACTTTGTTAGGACTAGGGATTAAATTTTTAAAAAGTGACTTGGGAGTCAAAGTCCCCTGTAAAGAGTAAATGTGACCCTTTCTTTTTTGTGTGTACTTTTTCTCCCCAGGATCCACTACAATGTGCACCCTGCTCTGTGAAAGAAAAGAAAAAAGACTCTAAGATTTTAAAGTTGCATATGCCCTGTGATTCAGTAGCACTTATCCTCTTCAGCTACACTCAGTTCAGCTTCTAGGAAGCAAATGGGAAAGACTTCATGGTCTTCTTCAGTGGCAGCAAAGCAACTGAACTTCAGTTTACCATTTAAAGCTCTCTTTTAAATATCTCCATTGTCTCTCGAAAGTAAGGCTTGAAAATGGAAATGTCAGGCTCAGAAGGCCAATCAATTTTTTAATAGCTCAGGAGGCATAAATGAATGGATTTTCTATAGCATTGCTACTGATTAAGTCTATGGAAAGAAGAAAAATTGGGGTTTTGTGGACATTTAAAGCAGAGAGAGTGTATTAGTGAATCAATACTATAAGCACATTTTACTTCACCTCAGGCCAGTGATGGGAAACCAGAAAATCCTAACCTTGTTAAATTCCACACCGTGGCAGATAACTGAACCATGTTTGCATCTTCCTTTCAAGGGTAGGGGGGAGCTATTGATTCCTGGGAAGCCAATAGGCTTCTGTATTTACTATCTTTACTTAAAAACAATTACCTGGAGCTCAGATTATGCCATGTAGGTTTGAGTCACTACTATACTGGACTAAATACAATACTCTGCAGGTGAAGCTCAGAGTGCATGAAGCACACGATTGCTCCCGGCTCAAATGTTATTGAATGCAAGGCATAAACATAAAATGGTTGCTTTAAAAGTTCAGAACTGTACAACAGAATGTGAATGTTCTTAAATCAGCCCCTATTTGTTGTCCCTCAGTGGCAGACAACATATCTGAACATTCATGGAGAGTGGAGAATACTGGTCCCTGTTATTCATGTTGGCCTGGTTTCCATGAGAAATGGGTCTGGATAAAGGAAGTGCCATTTCTATAGTTTAGCACATAATACAGAGGATACATCTCCCTTTTACTGCAGCATGATAAGCTTCTGAAGGATGCTTTTAGCTCCAGCATATAGATAAATGAAACATTTTGTAGCATGAAAAGAGACCATCTGGATCATACTTGAACAGGGCACATGTAGCAGCAGCTTTTACTTTAGCCTTGCTATCAAACCACTTTCTTAATGATTGGCACCGGGGTCCCCTTGATTTTTCTTAATTTAGATCATCTCCTTTGATGATTAGAAACAGTCTCTTTTTAAGATGACTCCAGCAAGTGCTGAAGATACAGATCATGTTGAAATCTTAATGCATCTTTAGCTAGTTTTTAATTGAAAATGGCAGCTGAAAAGCTCCAAAGGAGCCACTAACAGCAAGTGGGTTCACATACTACTTTTGTTAACTACTGTGCTTGGTGTAAGAGACAGGAGATCAGACAAGGAGTAGTTAAAAGAGAGATGCAACAGATTTTAAGATTTTGGGCCACCTTCCGGCCTCATTTACACATAACCTACTGCACTGGATTACATTCATGTGACTGAACAGGAAAAAATGGTGAACTACTTATATTAGCTCATTTATGAAAATTAATTCCTTGCTCTGTCAGATTAGCCTAAACTCCCTTCTCTGTTTCTTTTAAATAATACATATGAAGGAAAGGTTTCAAAGAAGTATTAATGCAGAAAGATTGTACATGTGCATCTCAGTGTGTGGCAGTGCACACACGCTTTCTGATTTTGCAAATGAATTATTGGGGGATAAAAATCATTTCATACAGAACTTATACTGCCAAAGATAAAAATGAGAAGGCAATTAGAAGAAGCCACCCTGATATATATCAGCAGAAGGTGTGGCTGCCTGTTCGTGTCCTGGGAACCAGAACTGTTGCAGTTACATGATACTACCATGAATATATAGTGCAAGCGTGTGTTCATGTCTATTGAGAACCCATGGTTAGTGAAGACATTCAGATGATCCTTTGCACCTAAAAATCTCAGAAACTTCTTTTCCTAAGCCAAATTATTGTACTTACATCCTTCAGTTACCTGGGAGCACATAAAAATAGGCCTTGCTTTTTTTGAGATAATTAAAAAAAATCTCTATTTACATCTCAGGTATTTCACTCTGTTTCCCACACCTGACATTGATGAGTCACTTCTCCAGTTAAGGATGCCCTCTCTGAAATTCTCTGCTCATCAAATTAGATAAAGTGGGGAATTAAGAGGGGTAAGACCAAGATACAGTGAGAAATGCTAGCTGAAAAAAAAAAAAGGCATCATAAGAGTGGAGGCAAACAAGACAAATCCATTAATGAATCCATGATGTCCAGATGTCAAAGAGGCATAAAAAAAATGCAGCTTGCACTGAAGGGAGCCAAAAGAAAATTATAAACCTAACTGAACACACAAACCTGGGCATTCCTCTTTGGTAAAATACGTGGTGTGTGCGACAGTCTGTTTTCCTCTTCTGGCACACTGCTTAAACCCTGGTCTTCACAAAATGCATGAGGTTTCACGCCCCTAGTATAGGGGCATATATTGACTCCAAATTAGGAAAAATAATTTGACTTTTACCTTGGAACTGGTTGACCTGTTGCACTGGATACGGGCTTCGCTGTTGCTGCAGGTGCTGCCGAGGCAAATGTGACTGCTGCTGCAACTGCTGAAAATGAAGGAGGGACAGAAAGCAGAAGAGAAAGAGATGATTAATTAATTAGTGAGCTGAGAACTGGGCTGGTGGCAAAAGTACTGCAGCAGAACTGCAGCAGTTCTTATCTGGTGAGCTGTTCTGGAGAGACAAGTAGAGTCATCTGAAGAGTCCTTCTGAGAGCACTTGGGCTACTTGGCACGCGGACTCTTTTTGGTTCAAAAAGGAACAAGCACTGAGCTGACAACATCTCTCCTTACTTACAGCCACTTCATCCTGACCTCTACAGCATGAACTGCACTGTTGTCAGGCAGAAAGGAGAGGGAGGGATGTGACTAACTTTGCTCACTGAGGTCTAAGGGCAGCTGTAGCCACACACACTTTCCTTCCCTCATTCCTGCTAAGGTCTAGAAGTTTGTGTTCCTGGTACAAGACTTTCCCTCACCTCTGCACTCAAAACAGTCAGCTGCAAGGAGTACTGCATCCTGACCCAAGCACTGCAGCCTAGGACCATTCCTGAGCCAAACCAGAAATGGCTACAAAAGCACATTTCCTCTTGTGCTTCAGTGAATGATATTTGGGGAGCGGCTGACTGCAAAATGCATCTCTCCCTTGATCCAGACCACACTGCTCCTCTGTGGTTGTTTTCTATGAATACTCATGAATACTGTAAAACAGAATCAAGGGTGATTATAAAAGCAGAGAGAGTTTATCAGAGCTTTCAGATGCTAGGGTATGCTCAACTAAGCATTTATTAAAAGGATGTGTCTTGCAGCATCATCTGCAGCTGTACAAACACTGTGTCCAAAACCAAGGATGTGTAACAAAGGTAAGAGAATGGCAAAGGTGGGAAAGAAGGAAGTACTAATCCCTGCATTCATAAGCATGTGTTACAGGTCCTAAGCCATGTTTTCCAAGCTTCAAGCAACTGCTGACCTATCAGAATATTATCTAGATAACATTAGGGGACTGCAACTTCAGTTTTGGGTATGATCTTATAGGAACTCAACAGTGTGACTTTCCACTGACTTTCTCCTAGGCTGCTTTAAACTACAGCTGAATTAAGCATGCATCACCATTCTGACTGGGTAATTTAACATCCATATTGCAAAGCTCAAGAGCTCAGGAAGCCAGGTGATAGGCTCCAATGCAGGTCTTCCACATTGCCACTGTGAGAGTGGTTATATTGCTCTCCCACTCCAGTCTCTGGCTCTCCCCTTGCTGCTCTCTCTCCTTTGTGCTAACCTAACTGCTTGTACTGGCATGCAATAAACCAGATTAAGGAACTGATCTGGGTAAATACTTTTTTATTTTTAAATTAACTAAGGTTACTTTTAACCCACATCCATTTTTTGCCCCACATCAATGCAGCTGTACATAGATTTTGCCAGTGCAAGACCACACTCAGAGCTAGGGGAGAGGACCTGTGCCTGTAGCTGTAGCTGAGTCTGCTTCTGCTGGAGTAAACTGACCATGAGATGCCAGGCTAAGAGCTAACTTTCCCACTGCCTAAAATCCCATGCAACTGCCAAATCCACCACTGGGAACACAGGTAATATTTGCCAAGCTAATGGTAGGACTGAGACAGATGCCTCTTCTTTGACAACGATTGCTGAAATACCACGATAGGAGCCACACAGAGAGAATTACTAAAGGAAGGAACTACTAGAAGGAAAGGCTGGTGTTGTCTGCAGCACTCACGCTCTCATACCAGCAAGCACTGCAGTGTTTGAGACAGATGGATACTGTACCTGCTCCGCTAGGATCTGCTGCTGCTGCCTTTGCTCTCGGAGAAACTGCTGTTTCTGCTGCTCTATTACGTGGAGCTGGGCTCTCTGCTCTATCAGCATCTGCTTCATGATGGCTGCCTGAGGCTGGTTCCCTAGGAAGGGACCCCCGGAGCTCGTGCCCGTGACCACGTTGCTGGAGCCTGGTGGCACAGAAGGCTGCATCGGCCCTGCAGTCCGTGACAATCCCACTTGGTGCTCCTGTGCAAAGAGAGAGAGAGAAGGCCTCGTTACTTGGGGTTCTCCACAGGCAAGAGCAGTGACAGCTCTTTAAACTGAGGAAGCACTGAATCTGTGGATGAAGTATGGAGCTTGCAGAAAGTGGGTCCTTGGAAAGATGCACATGGCTTGTGACCATGGGCTGTTCCCCATAGGGAACTGGTCCCTCTTTTCTCCTGGAGTTTAAAGCCCCTCAGGGAAAGCAAGAGCATTTTATAATTCATTTATAATGAAATAATGAAGTTGTGTGCGAAGGTTTTTTTTCCATGCAGGACATGTAACTTCCGAGTCATGTTTTTCTAAACTTTTTCTCCCTTCTTATGGAGACAAGTACATTTTCTCTTCCTTTCCACTTACCTCTCTTCGTAATAACGATTTAAAACACTCGTCATAACAACAATTTAAAACAGTCCTCTGGATTGAGAAGCCAAGGTGTTGGGTGCACACAATGAGCTGGCAGCATTAATTCTCCTTACACTGCTCCACAACCTCGGGATTTCACCGCATTATGTGTTTATTCGAGATTTCCCTCCCGCAGGACTGGACCAACGTGCGTGGCCGGCAGGACGCAGGACAGGCTCCTTTCCCCCTCCTGCACCCACTCCCGCTTTCTCTTCGTGTTCCTCATCCGATTCGCTGCCTTTCAGGGATCGGCGGGAGGCCGGGGGGAATTCCAACCCTTGTCCCGACGGAGGGCCGGGATCACCGGGGGACACCGGCAGGTGTCGCTGCCCGCCCGCGGCCCGGCCAAAGCGGGACCGGAGCCTCCCCGGGGCCAGCCCGGACCGTTCCCTGCCTCGGGTGCTCCTCCTGCGCGTGAAGAGCCCTCAAAACCTCTTTAATTGATGAATAGGGATGGGTACTCATTTAAAAACACCAACTTGACCCGTATCACTTTAGCATCCTTTGTGCAAAGCCCGCCAGAGTGAGGTTTAGATTCACCTGCTTCACGGACGGGTTTGAGGAATGTCAATTAGTGTGTGATTTGGAACGCAGGGAAGGGCGATCTTGCGGCACCTACCCCGACCCAGTCAGTGAAAGGGTTAAAATCAATGCTTGCATGTAGCTTGGGAAATTAGGATCGGCCTTTCTGCGTGAAGGTCAGGTTTTCAAGGACCCTTCTGAGGAAATAACAAAACACAATTTGTCCGCATCTCTTACTTTGCACGGATATTCCCTGAAGGGCTCTCTGCTGAAAGGCAGTTCTCCGATATTTAGGTTCTTTCCCTTTTTAATATCTGCCCTGGTTTGAAAGTTCCCTCCCTGCTCCTTTTTCTGCTTCTCCAGTCCCAACTCACGCTGCACTTTACAACCTGGTCAAGCATGGTCCCTGCAGCGTCCTAAGGGCAAGGGCTGCGGCAGCTGCTGGGGCTCCCCCAAGCTGGGGTGAGGGAATTACAGCTGCTGAGGATCCCTCAGCTCCTCCCGCACTGAGCCCTTTCACCCACCCCTGTCACTGAGCTCCTGCTTTCTTTGCTGTGGGGGGACACACACAGACATCAGCTGTCTCCAGCAGAGCTGATGGCAAAGGCTTTTTCCTACCACCCCCTGGCCCTCCCCCGACTTCTGATGAAGTCATCAACCTACTGATTGCATAACTGATACACAGGACTATCTTGTGTTATACTGGGAGATGGGCCAACCGCTTCCATTTATAGACAAAAGCAATGCCACGCTGCCAAATAATGGAGCCTTTGCTGCAGCCAGTACGAGGGAAAAAAAAAAAAGGAGGGGGAAAAAACCTGGGAGCCAAAGGGCATGCTGTGAAGTGACATCCCTCAGAGCTTCCTCTGCGAGCCTCAGTGCACAGCTGCCTTTGGGGCTGCAGCCCAAGTCCTCTTTGAATTGCCTTCAAAAAAAATCTCCTTACAGAACTACTGTCCTGGCTCTTAATGCACGCACGGGTACGGCTGAGGGACACACTCACTTCACAGTAAAAGCACTCCATTCTCTGCTGGATTATGTTATAAATTAATTCCAGAGTTTAAAAAGGAAGAAAGCTTTGAAAGGAGCCCCACCAGCTGACGTGAGCCCCACGCGCTGTGCAGCAGCTGAAGGAAATACGAGGATTATCACAAAGGTGTTACTTCCAGTGCTGTGTGTTTAGTCATTTTGGGGTACACGAGTTTACCTACTCATCACGAAAACTTCACGTTTCTGGTTTTAATAACAGGTTTAAAGCCAGGCCTTCTTCATCTAGATCACCCTCCCACATGGAATATTTCTTCTCCTTTCCTTTTCTTTGGCAAAAGCTCTTCCCAACCGATGACGAAAAGCCCTGCTGACATCACTGGGAGCAGCCCTGGGTTGTGTGTCCTGAAAATAAGAGCATAGCCCAGGCAAAAGGTCTCTGCAGGCAGGAAAATGCTCCCTAGCACCTGGGAGCAGAGCTCTTTCCCAAGAGCTTTATCTCTGCAGCCTGGCACTGCTGCTCTTAATGTCCAAGGGTATGGAGATGAAACCTGGTGGTCGGCTGTGTGGCAGGGAACTGGTGATCCACACGGCTGCCTCTTACAAGCCATGGCTGAGATGCAGCCTCACCACAGGAGCCGAGCGCCGAGGCAAGCAACTCGGGCTAAGTGCAGCACTCATACAGTCACAGAGCTTCAAAACCAAACTAATCCAAGCTTCACCGACAACGCTCTTTGCTCCTGTTCTGTCTGCCAGCTCCCTCATCCTCTTACTGCACCCCGAGCCTTCCGGCCCCTAGACTTCCTGCTCCTCCTCCTCCTCGTTCCCTGCCATTCCTTTCTCTTTCCTACACCCTCTGTCCAGCCTCTGCATTTTCCTTTCTCCACCAACTGGCACTGCTGCCTCTTCCTTCCCTCTCCAGACGCCCCCACCAGCACCTTGGCTCCCCAGCCTCTGGCTGCACATCACCCCTGCCGCTGCCTGTGCTGGTCTCCAGCGGCTCATTCCCACAGCCTGACTCACCCTGTGACTTGCGGGGATCCGCAGCAGTGAGGGGACAGCCCAGCTGCTTCCCGCAGGGCCCTGTCCTTGTGTGCACGTGGCTACAGGGGTGCCCTGTGGGGGCACAGGCAGAGAGCGACAAGATGTCCTGGAATGGGAAACACAGGCTGTATGCTCAGCCTGTTACATCTGGGAAGATGGTACAGTGTGACTTCTGATTTTTCACTCTGGCTCTTTTTAACACCACCCAAAGCCACTGTGTGCTGCTTGCAGGCTGCAAACAGCTCCCTGCTGATAACAGAGTTACAGGCGCTCCAGTCGGGAGCAGCGATGCTGCAGCTCCGCCGCCAGGTCCCCACCGCGGGGCAAGCGAGAGGCTGGTTACACCAAGGGAGTGATGGCACCAAGCCCCCTCAGCTGTGCCACAGAGCGACTTCAAACACACGGGCTGGCCCTGGCTAAGCCTCCTGGGAGCCCTCCTGCCCCTGCAGCCTCAGCTGCCCACTTTTAAGGCAGCCCAGGGACAGAATCAAGTGCTTGGCCCCTGGGAGCAAAATCGGGTATTGAAAGAGCCGAGGTGGTGTTCACGGAGCCAAAAAGGAGCCACAGTTTCCAAATAGTCAGCGTAACACTTCTGGCTTGTATAGCTGCATAGCACTAGGAAGATGAACTTTTGTAGGGATCTGGCTGCTTACTTAGCGCCCGCATGGGAGTTGCCCCTCTGGATAATCCAATCCTTAGTTAAGCAACAGGAGAATAAATCCTGTGTCCTCCCAGTGTATTTCCAGGGCCCTACAGGAGAGACAGGATGCTCTGCAGGAGTTCAGAGTGATAAGTGTGCATATATGTGTACAGTTATGCACAGTAAACACAAGTGACTTTAAAAAGAGAACAAAGGGGAGTGGAAAAGATCTTTTCCTCTTTGTCTCAAGTCTTACATGCCTCTTCCTTACCATGCAGCAATTTATTCCTTCCACATGTCATTCAATCTCCCAGCTACAGCTAAAAGCAATCACACAATTTTCTTCCAGAACAAGCAGAACAACCACCAGCTGATGCTCTGAGAGCTGGGCAGCTGGGTGCGGGTAAGCACACTCAGGGACAGCCAAGCCTACTCATCGGCCCTCTGTGCCTCATGGTTGGAGTCCTTGGATCTGGAGGAGGCAGCTCTGCTCCTGCTGAAGGCCAGGGGGGGCAAAGTGGCACCCCAGGGAAAAGGAGGCTGTTCCAGGCAACTACTGGCAGAAATTTCACATCTGGGAACAAAGTATTTCCCAAAATGCTGAGGGAAACACAGATTGGAAAGCAAGGTCTAAATGTGCGGAACAGACAAACAGACATAATTCCCTGTGCCATTCTGTGGTGTGTGGGTGAATGGGATCCTCAAATATACAAAGAGCAGAAGAGCAAATAGAAGCCAGGAAGGTGGTTTATCCTGCATCCTGCATTAGAAGAATGATACTAGAAAAACGTATACAATCAGGCATCTACATTTTAGAGTCAGAGCAGAAAAGAACACACAAAAATGATTTGAGGCAGAAAGTGTTTGCCAGAGAGTGACTTAAAGAGCTCAATCCATTTAGCCTACCACAAAGAGAACTGAGAGATGCTTTGACCATGGTGTATAAAAATACCTTCACGAGGGAAGAAATCCCTTAAAGAGCTCTTTTATCCAGTGAAGAAGGCAAAACCAGATAGAAGGGCTGGAAGCTGAAAAGAGATTCAAATCAGACAGAAGAATTGCATTTTTACACTGTGACTCCATTACACATCAGAAATGGCAGATATCCACATTTTGATGTCTTCAAGGACGACAGCCTTTCTGGATAAAGACAACACAGCGGTGGGAGGGAATGGCCTGTGACATACCAGATAGAACAGCACTGTCTGCCCTCACCTCTGCACAGCTCTGAGCTGCTGCAGAGGCCACTCTCCTGCTTGCACCACACTGCTGCCAGGCAGACAAGCACTGGTTCTGCTCTTAGGCACTGCGCGCGTGTCTGTGTGTGTATGTCTGTGTGCTAAGAATGGGGGGTCTCCAAGGTATTAATGGGATCAAAAAT